AATGTAAAATAATATGTGTATTCGTGCGGCGTTCGGTTAGTTAGACTGGGAGTTGAGCGGTACTTTCACAAAAGGTGCGCTCAGACCCCAGCTATCTACCGAACGGTCATTCGGTAAAATATCATGAATAATGTAGAAGTTATGGATTTTTGTGTGAAATGTTAGTTCTACTGCACGGAGGGATAATCCACTTAACTGGGTATTCTAGTGGGAGTTTCCCTCTCGTGCAGCAGTGCATGATGGGAGAAATGTCTGGGTTGTTAAGCCCCCCATGAAGTCCCCTACTGTACAACCCCTGTAATGTCAGTAGGGAAACCCCTTGCATGGGGAACTGTATATATACTGTGACCTGTGATTAAAAGCTCAGTTGACTCCCAGCCTATGTGTCATCTAGTTCTTGGAAAGGAAAGGATTTATACAACGCTACCAGGATTATTGCATGCTGTACTTATTTTGCCTGGATTATTGTAAGCTGTTCCTGTTACCAGCAGAGACCCTGTGGATTATACTACCTCTCCGCTACATTACTGATTTCTGATATAGGCCTGGGACATTCTGAGCATTAGAGATGTGATCACGGAACTAGAAGGACTCCATTCTTTATTGATCTTCTCTGCATACCACTGTTCATTTTTTATTTTTCTTTAAGCTCTGATTGTTTTCCCCTTGCTGCAGGCAGTTTTCTCTCTTCCCAACCGGGGCCTAATACCCTGAGATGGAGAATTATTTTTTATTCTCCCTCATGGCCCTTTTTCTAAACATAGTTTTTTTTCTCTCCTCGTATAGGGGAATTTATCCAAGTTTATCATTCCCAATTTTTTATTTTTCCTTTTTATCCCATCCATTTACTAATGCACTGTAAGCAATTGAAGAAGCTAACAGGTTATGCTTCAAATGTTTTAGCACGCTCACTCTTGTCTAAACAAATGTATTTGTTATTACGATTGTTGGATTTCATAACTCTCCTCTTGGGACACGAGCCTTTGGGCTCCCACATTTCTATACAATCTCTTTTTATGGCTGTGTACTCTGATTTGAGTCATGGTCATTAAACTCATGTCATTTAATGTGAGGGGCCTGAACACCGCTCACAAGAGGCGACTATTGTTCAAAGAAGTCAAATCTAACAAATCAGATATTGTCTGTATTCAAGGGACTCATCTTAAGGAAGGAAAAGAGTACAAATTTATGACACGGTTATTCCCTTCCCAATTTCATTGCACTTACAAAACTAAGTCTAGAGGTACTTCCATTTTTTAGCAGGAATGTGGCTAATTCTACAGAAAAGATAACAGATGATGACGGAAGATGACGGTGTAGATTGGTAAGGTTAACAACGTTATGTATGCAATTGTCAATGTGTACTTTCCTAACAGCTTACTTTCTTTAGGAAAATTATGGATTTGGTGAATGAGAACATGAAAGGGACTTTGGTGATGTGTGGAGATATCTACTTTGTAATGGATGGTGACTTAGATAATGCAAGGGATAATTTGGATAAACTCCATAGGAGAGATAGTGATAGATTAGCTGTGAAATGCTCAAATATATGGTTGAATGTGGACTGTATGATCCATGGAGATAAATGCATGAGAATGAAAGAGACTTTACTTTTTACTCAGTATCCAAGAACATGTATTCCAGGCTGGACAGGTTTCTGATACAGGGCGCTCTCATACCACACATCTCAAGATCTGATATTTTAGATATCAACTGGTCTGACCATGCTCCCATAACTTTGCATTTAGACGAAATGGTTTCTTTCTCCCCCAATAGGCACTGGAAACTGAGTGATTACTTATTAGATGATCCTGAAAATAGATCGCTAGCTGAAGGGATACTGAATGACTATTTTTTGGAAAATGTTTCGCATGAGGTTCCTGACGAGGTGACATGGCATGCGCACAAGGCTAAGTTGAGAGGCCATTTCATTTCTAGGGCGACTCACTTGAAGAGGAAAATTAACGGCAACTTAAGAAATTTGGAAAAAGAATTGTACAACCTAAATCAGGCAAATAAATTCGGCCCTCCCTGGCATCTTCCTCCCTGTCAGCAATGATAGGGGAGATTAAATCAAAAATTCACAAAATAAATTTGGATCGAACTACTCTCATGGTGAGACGCCTCAAGAAAGTGTTATTTAAAGGGTAACAAGGCCTCAACTCTCCTGGCGTCCAAACTCCGGCAGGTGAATGCCCATTCTAAAATTGCGTACTTAATAGATGACCAGGGACAAAACATATTTCACCCGAATAAGATTAGTGACCAATTTGCCAAATATTATAGTGTACTTTATAATTTGGAATCTGATGTAAATCTCACCCAGCCGTCTGAGGCGACTATTAATAATTTTTTAGACAGGGTTTCGTTGCCTCGGCTGTCTTCTGATAATTTAGAAAAATTAGAGCGTGATATATCTGAAGCAGAGATAGCCGAGGCAATTAAGCTCATGCCATCTAGAAAGGCTTCTGGTCCTGATGGATTCACCATTTTATACTATAAGACCTTTGCAGAAACTTTAATTCCTCATATGTCCAAACTATTCAACTTCTATAAGTCCGGGGGGGAGATGTCAGGAGAGTCTTTGTCCGCACAGATTGTCACCTTGCCAAAACCGGGTAAAACTCCCGACAGATGCTCTAATTTTAGGCCCATATCCCTTATTAATAACGACACAAAAATGTATTCTAAGATACTAGCGAACTGATTAACTAATCTAATACCTTTATTGATCAATAATGACCAGCTGGAATTCGTGAAAGGTAGACAGGCACCTGATGGAACAAGACTGTTCATTAACTTAATTCAGCATATCAATTAAACAAGAACTCCTTCTCTGCTCCTTTCATTGGACAGGGTACATTGGGGATATCTATGGAAGACACTGAGCAGATTTGATATTCCACAGTCTTTTATTACTGTGATAAAGGCACTATACAGTGCACCCACAGCTCATGTATCGGCCTCAGGTTTCCAATCCAGAAAGTTTTCTCTAACTAATGGGACGCGTCAAGACTGCCCCTTATCTCCAATTCTCTTTGTCCTGGCGATGGAACCCCTGGTCGAACTGATTAGGACGACCCCAGAAATCGCAGGTATT